GCCGGAGAGGGAAGGCGTTGCTAGAACAGTCCTTGGCCAGCACCACCAGAGCAGCGGGAGGCGATGGCTGCTCCATCGAGTTCCGCTGTAGTCTGATATCCATGAAATCCAGCAGCACAAGTGCTTTGAGCTTAGAGCAGAACTGCAGAGCCTACTAGAGCATACCACATTTACTAGAGTGTAGAAGGAAAGCAGAATATTGACTTAGTGATATTACTACTTTACAGTTATTTTAATACTTGGGATTCAGTAATAATCATTTCAAGTGTTGGAGTAGAGGGTGCCAGGGTTTTTTAGGGTTTTAATCCAAACCAATGCCAGCAGGACGTGGCGCTCGGCCGGGATGCCCAGGAAAGGCTCTGCCCGGAATGTTCCTGCTGTCCTGAGCAGCTTTGGCCCAATCCACATTTCACTCTCAGTGCCTGAGAGAAAAGTAATTCCCTGTGCAGCGTGCTCAGAACAGCACAGGAGTTGTCTTTAAGGAGAAAGAGTGCATTTATGATAAATGTTACACTATTTGGCTCAAACTGAGCAAATGTTTTTGTACTATTATTAACCTAAAAAATAAAAAGTTCAGCCTGCTTTGGGTGCCCTTCTAACTTAACCCCAACGAGCAAATTGTACGTGAGAGAACTCTTTTTAGATAACGTTTATACAATGTTTTAAACTTGCTATCCCAGTGGTAGCAGCTTCACATTCCATGGTTTTCCTGTTGGGAATGTTCAGCCTGCTATGAACTTGTCTGAAACTCGTCCTGGTCGGCTGGGGGATATTTTTGTGGACACTGTGCACTACATTTGACTGTTGTGTTCCATCTGCTTGTGAATCCCTGAGGAGGAGCCTGGCAGCTCCTGGCTCCGTTAGATCAAAGCTTTTGAAAGCTGGAACTCACAAATTTCCAGTGTTTCAGGATGGGTCTTGCCAACAGCATTTGGAACATGCCACAGAACGGTAGATTTAGGGTCTTTTGCAAAGTCTGTGGCTCCACTTCGGCCATCAGAACGATGCACTTGTGGGTGGGAGGGTGGATGTGACAGAGCTACAGGCGATGTGTTTCCAGTAATTAATTAATCACTTTTAAGGGTCTTTCTCCTACAGCAGTTGAGGAATAACGTTGTGTTAGAGTTTGAGGCATTGTGTTGTATTTCAGATGTGGAAAACCTAAATTATGACCTAGTATCACTTAATCCTCTTCACAGTAGATCGATGGTGCAATCTGAAATTAATCTTTTCAAAACGTACTCTTCATTTTTGTACTCTATTTATTTTGATCAAAAGTCCTGGAAAGAAAAAAAAAAGTATGTTTGAATGTATTGTTCTACTTGTAGCAGAACTTTAAGTTAATCATTTATTATATCATAGAAATCTCTCCCTCCAGTGTCAGAGTTTTATACAGATATTAGTCTCTAGTTTGCAGAAGAGTTTACAATCTGTCTTTATTTTCCTCATAGTCTCCCTTTAGCAGATAAACTGCCTGCAGCAAATCTCCGTTGCCAAAGGGTTCTTTTTTAACTCCTTAGAACCAACTTGTAGAGGTTTATTTGGCAATAATAGTCCTGAAATTAGGATTGCAGAGTAAATACTAACAAGTCACCACTGCTAAAAAATGAAATCGAATCCTTTTGTGATTGCCACAAAATGCTCATATTTCCAGAAAATAACTGGGATTTCTACTGCAATACGGATTTTCCATCAGCTGTTGTCCATTCCAGAAGGATGTACCCTCGTGGCATTAATGTATTTTAGGTATCTTCGGTTTTCTTGTATTGTCATTTTTGAGGTATCTCAAACGTATGTTAAAGCTGCCATGCATTGTATTACTAAATTGTAACTATCAAATAGATAATATATTTAATACAGCCAATAAATAATACAAATGTATTCAAATTTGACTCCGAGCTCCTGTGGTTTTGTGGGATTTAGTCTCACTTGTGTCACGTGTAATTTACGGGAAGGGAACATGCTGAATGTCATTAAGGGCTGAATTAACTTGGGACCCTTGGAATGTCACTTCCATTTCTCCTCCTTCGGCAGGAAGGACCTGCAGTTCCCAGGTGAGATAGAAGAGTTCTTTGATACTGGAAAGTGAATCATTTGGGGCTGATTGCCAATTTTCCATCATTTTGTGTTGACTCAGGTCTTTTCCCCCTTAAACTCTTCCCCAGCATTTGCTGCTGAGTGCGGAATTCCTCCTGATGGTGCCTTCATGGTCTGATAAAGATAAGATGGGAAAGGCTTTATTTGACCATCATTCCCAAAGAGACAGCTGGACACTCAGCCTGGGTAAACTTTCCACTTGAGGAATGATCAGGGGTGAGGAGCTGGAAAACGCTGGGCTGGAGGAGGCAAGGGGAGTGGGGGCCAGCATGAGGGAATCCCAAGGGAAGGCTCTGGGAAGCTGGAAACACAGGGCCAAAGGGAGCAGGGACACCCAGCAGCAGGATCTGCCTTCACAGTCCTCAGAATTCCTCCAGAACCCAGGAATGGGATTCTAGCAGAAATGAGAGGGGGATCAGCTACAAAACAAATCTCCTCCTCCTCCTCCTCAGAGCTTGGCTCTTTGGAGCTCTTATTCTCCCAAGGGCTGCCCAAATGCCAGAGTTTTGTGGAGCCAAATAGTGTGGGATTAGTGCTGGAAAGGTCAGAGCTGAGCACAGGCACTGCTTTGTCCAGCAAATCCCAGATCTGACGTTAGGGAGATTCCTGCTGCCCTTTCCAAGAGGCAGAAGCTCTGGCTGGGGTTCTTGCAGATTTGGACACCTTCCAACAAGAAAAGCTGTCCTTGTGCCAGGGCTCTGCATGGCTGTGCCCTGAACACCTCAACAAATCTTGTCTGGGAAGAAATTCCCAGTGAAATTTCATAGAATGATGGAATGGGTTGGGTTGGGAGGGACCTTAAAGCTCGTCTTGTTCCACTCCCTGGCAGACAGGGACACCTTCCCCTATCCCAGGTTGCTCCAAGCCCCATCCATCCTGGCCTTGAACACTTCCAGAGACTTAAAATTTATGGGATTTAAATCCTGCACCCTGAGCGGAGCCACGTGCCCAGGCTGTGCTCCTGATTTCTCCAACAGATGATTCCCAGCTGGCCGGCAGCTCCCGGGATGAACGACCGTGGCAGACGGAGGAGCCGGCACCCGGCCAGGACACACCATGACCCCATTTCCTGTTTTCCAGCGCTGAAAACAACCCCAGTCCCTGAGCAGAGGGGAAGGGTGGCTGCTCTTCCATTGGGCCAGCTGTGGTGCCCATGGAATGTGTCTTTTTGAGTTTATCCTGGGGAAAAGGAGGCTCAGGAGGGACCGTGCGGCTCTGCACAGCTCCTGACAGGAGGGGACATCCAGGGGAGGCTTTGCTGCCAGGGAATAGGGACAGGAGGAGAGGAAATGGCCTCAAGCTGTGCCTGGCGAGGGTTAGGTTGGACATCAGCAGGAATTTCTTCACGGAAAAGGTTGTTAAACATTAGAACTGTCCAGGGAGGTTTGGAGTCCCCATCCCTGGAGGTGTCCAGGGAAGGACACGGGGAAGGTGGCACTCGGTGCTCTGAGCTGGTGACAAGGTGGGGATCAGGCACAGCTTGGACTCCGTGGTCTTGGAGGGCTTCTCCAACCCCATAATTCCCAGCATGGCTGTGCCCCACAGGAGTGTCCATGGGGAGAAGCATCCACGGCCAGGAAGGCGTTTGTGGCCCTGGGGACAGGTGGCTGCCCCATGGGAACTGCCTCTCCCTGCCTTCTCCTGCTGTTTTCCTCACAGAAATCCTGCAAGGATCTTCCCAGTGTGGAAAGTCACCTGTGGTGAGTGGAGAAGGTGGCACAGAGGGAGCAGAAGAGTCCTGCACTGGGTTTAGGGATAAATCCCGAGCCTCATGGAAGTGGGGAATCAAACCATCATTTTCTTTCCTGCCTCAGGAATAAACACCGTGGCAGCCCACAGCTCCATGTGCTGAGCTCCAGCCTGATCCCAGCCCGTGGAAGAGCTGCTCTCCCCTTTCTTAAAACAAGGAAAGAAAAGTGGGCTTAGTTTCTTCTCTAAGGTCAGTGTGTGGAATTCCTCCTCCCTCCCTCCCTCCTCCCAGGATGTTTTTGTGTAACACACTCTGACTCATGGAAGTCAAATGACTTGGCCTGGGAGCTGCCTCAGCGCAGCATTCTGGCACAGGGATCCCGCGCCGGCCCCTTGTGCTGGGTGAGGGTTTTCCCGGAGCCATGGGGCTGCCCCTGCTCTCCAGGCTGATCCCAAAGCCAGGCAGGGCTGGGATGTGTCTCCAGCCAGGCTGGGATGTGATCCAGGTGCTGCACGCCTGCCTGGGGGTGCAGGGGGAGCAGCAGAGCTGCTGGAATGTTCCGCGGGGCGGATCGGAGGGAGCAGCTCTTGGTTCGTCCCTGTCTCTGAGGGGCTGGGATGGGAGTCCCCAGCACATCCTCTTCCTCCAGACCTGGCTGCACTCGGACCATCTTGGGTTATAACACATTGCAACTGCTTCTGGAACCTTCCTGATCGCCAGCCTGACAAAATCACAACAAAACTTTATTTTTGGTTCTGTTTTGCCTCAGAAAGTGAGAAACTCTGACAAAATTCACATGGAATGTGCTCTACGTGGCTTCCAAATCCAGTCAGCTGTCATGAAAACCAGCTTTAAAAAGCTTTTACATTTGCTTCCAAAGTGGAACCTGTTATTTTCAGAACAGTGGGAACACACCGTCATTTTTAGTTACTCCTGGAATTGCTAGCACTTTAAAAAGTGGCTTCAGAGCTATTAATGAAACAACAAAACATCTCCTCCTGCATCACCTCAGGGCAGATGCAGGGCACTGGGCTGTCTGCAGCAGGGGAAGTGGGAAAACAGTCACTTGAATCCAGCAGATTTGGTCTGTGCATCAGTTGACCTACATGAATATTTACAGTAAAACGAATATCTGCTCTGATGGGCCGCATCTCCATGGCAACCCCGCTAGGCCGCGTCTCCATAGCAACGCCGCCCTCCCGGCCGCCGTAGCCGCGCCCCTTGTGTCACATGACCGGAAACGATGGAGGCGGCCAAGATGGCGTCTCCCAAGAGCGCCCCTAAAGACGCGCAGGTACCGCGGGGCCCAGGGGGGTCCGGGCGAGACCGGGGGGCACCGGGGGCTCGGGGGGCTGAGCGGTGCCTGTGTCCCCCCCGCAGGTGATGGCGCAGATCCTCAAGGACATGGGCATCACCGAGTACGAGCCGCGCGTCATCAACCAGATGCTGGAGTTCGCCTACAGTAAGCGGGGCCGGGCGGGAAGGCTCGGGTGGGGCAGGGAAGTGTTGTGTGGAGCAGGGAATGTTGCCTGGAGCAGGGAGTGTTGCCTGGAGCAGGGAGTGCTCTGTGAGCCCGTGTTTCCGCGGGGGCTCCCCTGTCAGACTCGGTGCCCGCGGAGATCTCTTCCAGCTGTAATTCTGTGACTCTTTAATCACAGAATCACAAAGCCAGGATGCTTTGGGCAGGGGCACCTTCCACTATCCCAGGGAGCTCCAAGCGTGCCCAGCCTGGCCTTGGCCGCTCCCAGGGACGCAGGGGCAGCCCCAGCTGCTCTGGCAGGGAGGAATTCCTCCAGTTTTCCCATGGGCGCTGCCCTCGGGCAGGCTGAGCGGTGCCCGCAGAGTTCTCAGCGCCAGCCGGGCGAGGCCAGGATGGGGCTGGGGAGTTTTCCGTGAAAGCCAGAGCCCGTTTCTGCCAGGATACGTCACCACCATCCTGGAGGACGCCAAGATCTACTCGAGCCACGCCAAGAAGTCGAGCGTGGACGCGGACGACGTGCGCCTGGCGATCCAGTGCCGCACGGACCAGTCCTTCACATCGCCCCCGCCCCGCGACGTGAGCGGACACGGGGCTGCCGGGGACACGGGGGACACGGGGGGACACGGGGCTGGGCAGGGACACGGGGCTGGCACAGGGACACGGGGCTGGGCAGGGACACGGGGCTGGCTTGGGACACGGGGCTGGCCCAGGGACACGGGGCTGGCACAGGGACACGGGGGGGACACGGGACACAGGCTGGGCAGGGACACGGGGCTGGCACAGGGACACGGGGCTGGCACAGGATCGAGGCTGTCACTGGGACACGGGCTGGGCAGGGACACGGGGTGGCACCGGGACGTGGGCATGAGGCCGGGACACAGGGATGTCCCAGTGGACACAGAGTTCTTACCAGACACGGGGATGTGTCTGGGACACAGGGGATGAGACCTGGACACAGAGATGTCACTGGGACACAGGGATGTGGCTGGGACACACGGATGTGGCTGGGACACAGGGATGTGGCTGGGACACGGGGCTGTCGCCAGGAAACGGGGATGTCACTGGGATGAGGCCAGGACATGGGGATGAGGCCGGGACACAGGGATCTGACCGGACACAGGGATGTCTCTGGGACACCGGGGTGCGACCAGCCACAGGGATGTCAGTGGGCCATGGGGATGTCACCAGGCCACGGGGATGTGACCAGACACCGGGACACAGGGGTGTGACCAGACACCGGGACACAGGGGTGTGACCAGACACCGGGACACAGGGGTGTGACCAGCCGCGGGTGTGGCCGTGTCCCTGCAGTTCCTGCTGGACATCGCCCGCCAGAAGAACCAGACGCCGCTGCCGCTGATCAAGCCGTACTCGGGCCCGCGGCTGCCGCCCGACAGGTACTGCCTGACCGCCCCCAACTACCGCCTGAAATCCCTGCAGAAGAAGGTGAGGATTGCTCCGGGGGCGGGGATCACCCCTGGGGGCGTGGGAGCGGTGTCAGGTTGCGGTTTTCCACGGCTCTGAAAGGCGGGGGTGAATGTTGGCCTGTGCGTGCCAGCTCGGAGGTCTCCAGGCTGGATTTGCAATTTGTTGTTGGTTGATTTTAAATGGAAATCTTGAAATGTGGGAAATTTTAAAATATGGAAAAATGTCAGGTATGGGAATATTGTGGTGTTACTGAAATACTGCAGTATGCCACACTCACTGAGGCTGGAAAAGCCCTCCAGGATCATCAAATCCAGCCTGTGCCAGAGCACTGAGTGCTGTTTCCAATCGTTCCCTGGACACCTCCAGGGATGGGGACTCTGCCACCTCCCTGGGCAGCCCCTTCCAATGCCTGCCCACCCTTTCCCTGAAGAAATTCCTCCTCATGTCCAGGAGGAGCTGTCAGGTTTAATGTCAGCTTGTCAGAGGCACAGGCCAGGCTTTGGTGTAGGTATTAAAGAATATTTTTGACTTCTACCTCAGTTGTTTCTGCTTTAGAAGGAAAATATTTCCTTTGCTGGGAAGCCCTGAATGCCTCATTGTGGGGGGACTTTCCTGTTTATTCCAGGCCATTCCCTGATTCCCTGTTTCTCTCCCCACAGGTCTCCTCCACAGCAGGCAGGATCACAGTCCCTCGCCTGAGCGTGGGCGCCGTGAGCAGCAGGCCCAGCACTCCCACTTTGGGTAGGAAACAGCTCCACAGGGGATTCCCACCTTCATTTTAGGAAGGAAAAATAAAGAGGAATAATTTAAAACACTTTTCAGCCCCTGAGGAAATGTCAGGGACTGCCTGACCTTATATTGTTTGACAGCATCAGAAAGTTAATTTCATAAATTATTATTACAATAACACTTAAATGTAAATGCATTTGTAATGTTCTGTATTTGTGATAAGTTCTTTATTTAAGGGAATATTCAAGAACTTTACTTAAATTTAGGGTTATTTACCTCAATGTCAGCACATTTTTAAAAGGATCTTTAATTTTTAGGGCATAGCTTTAAATTTTATGTGTGTTTATAGTCTGGAATTCCGTAGGGCTGGGGCAAATGTAGGAAAATGAGCAAATGTGCAGCTCTGCCTGGAAATCTGATCCTTCTATCTGGTGTCCTGGTGTTCCTGTGCATTCCCACTGTGCCTAATAACAGGTTCCACCTGGGAGGGGGTTTCAGGAGTGTTTGTGGGTTTATTTTGGTTTGTGTGGAATCCAGGCACGCCCTCAGCCCAGACCGTGTCGGTGTCAGCCAAGGTGGGAGCGCCGGTGTCGCTGGCGGGGCAGCGCTTCACGGTGCAGATCCCGTCCTCGCAGCCCGCTGGGAAGTCAGGTACTGCTGGGGCTGGGAACAGGGATAAGCACACTGCCACGGCCTGCCTGGGCTGGCAGGGAGAAGCTCATCCACTCCCACCCCCTGCCATGGACAGAGACACCTTCCACGCTGCTCCAGGCTGGCCTGGAACACTTCCAGGGATGGGGCAGCTACGCTGCTCTGGCCAAGCTGAGGGGGGAATTCCTCCCCTTGTCCTTCATCCCAGGAACTTCCAGTGTTAATTGCTGTTCCCAGCACAGTGGCAGCCAGAGCATGGCCGTCCTGAGCAGCTCCTTCCCACCCTGGCTCCTGTTTCCCTCTCCCCCTTGTGTCCTCACCTGTCCCCCCGGACTTTCCCCATCCTCCCTCTTGGGATGAGCCTGGAGTAACGCAGGCATTGCTCCAAGCTTTCAGTGACCCCTTTCCACGATTCCCACAGCCACTCCCACCACTCCCACGGTGCAGAACGTCCTGATCAACCCATCCCTGATCGGCCCCAAGAACATCCTGATCACCACCAACATGGTCCCGCCCGGCGCCGCCGACCCCAACCCGCTCAAGAGGAAACACGAGGACGACGACGACTACGACGCCTTGTGAGGGCCCACGGCCCTGCCCCCTGCAGGGGGCCCTTCCCAAGGGATTCAGGGAGCCTTTCCCGTGGGATTCGTGGAGCCTTTCCTGTGGGATTCACAGAGCCCTGCCCATGGCATTCACACGGACTCCAGAGGGTGGGAATGGGCAGGAAGGCCCCGTTTGGGCCTTGGGAGTGTGGAAATAAAGTGCAGAGTGTTTGTAACCCGGCCTTGGTGTCTTGTGCACACCTGGGGGGGGGGGCAGGGGGTTCTCTATATATTTTCTGTATGTTTTCTATTTTAAAATGTATTTTTATATTAATTTTTATATAATTTATATATGCACACATGTATATACGTATATTGTTTTTGTATATGTTTCATATATATGTGTGTATATATGTGTAATGTATTTATCATATACACACACATGTAATTGCCTTGTACACTCAAAACTCACACTTTTTAATATATATACATTTGCCTATACACATACATATTTATGTTAATGTGTATATGTATGTGTGCACACATAAAATATATATATAGTGTGCAGACTACACAGTAGTTAATTATACACACACAGAAACACTCATATATTAATTATGTTTTATGTATCTAAAATAAACAATGCCATAATCCTATGCTATATAATGTACAACATATAATTACATATTTTATATCATCATATATAACATATAAATACCTTTTGGGATAATCTAATAGGGCCTAAGCCCTCAGAACTTCCATGCTCGTTTAAATCACTTGGAAATATTTTACAGCTCTCAGGACCTTCATAGACTTGGAAAGCAGGGAGAGTGAGGGGGGATTTTGGGAAGGAATTCTGTGAGGGGGCAAAGCCCTGGCACAGGGTGTGTGTGCTCCCTGTGGCTGCCCCATTCCTGCAAGTGTCCAAGGCCAGCTTGGACAGAGCTTGGAGCAGCCTGGGCTGGTGGATGATCCTTAAGGCCCCTTCCAACCCAGACCATCCTGGGATTTCCTAAGCTGGCAGAGCCCTCATCCAACAGGAAAATAAAGAGGATTCTCAGGTCAGGGAAACTGCTACCCCAATCCCACAGCCCTGTGCATGTCCCAAGGAACATTGGCAGAAGAAAAACAAATTTAATAAAATTTACATTTATCACCTTTTCTTCCTGCTGAGACTCATAACTTAGGGCTGAGGGCAAAAAAAAAGCAGCAGGAACTTGTTTGGGGTGTCTGGACAGAAAGACCTGAACAGGTCTCAGTGACAGCAACTCCTGGCCTGGTTTTAAGACCAAATTTAAGTGCAGAGAGCCCAGGGGAGGCTGAGGGGGGGTTGTACACAATAATTCCAACTCCAAGCCATGTTTCTTTAGTAACTCCTTTATTAAAATCACAAACCAGAGTTAAAATTCCTACATTATTCACATAAGTCAAGTTTCTAAGTTCATTGAATAAAGACAGTCCAGCGGCCAAAGGGGCCAGAAAGCCTGAGCAGTTCAGAGCTGCTGCTTTAAGACTTCAGCCGGGGCCTTCTCACTCCATGGCTCTCCCAGGGCAGCTGGAAAAGTTCCTTCAGGCTCCATGGGAAGAGGCAGGAGCAGAACTCCAGTGCAGAGGCAAAGCTCTCTCAAGATTTCAGGTGAAACCGTACCCAGCGTTCACAGCTCAGCAGGAGGGAGGGAGCTGGGAACACCCACCTGGAAAACCACCTCCATTCACTCCAGGAATTCCAGAGGAAAGATTCCTACCCCCCACCTGGCCCCAACACACAAATATTTACAGAGACATAACAAAGAAAGGAGCAGCTTGACTCCCTTGCTGAGGGCAGGAGCTGCTGCTCCAGCAGGAGAATCTAACTCCCTCAAAAATCACCAGGAATGTGGCCTAAAGGGATGGGAAAGCTCCGGGTCAGGTAAACTACTCCTTGATGGGGGTGCAGCCTGAGAAGAAGCTGATGTTGCTGCTCAGCATCCTCTTCTTCCTCTTCCCAAAGGGGTTCTGGTTCTCCTGGGACTCCTCATCCCTCCCGAACAGGGAGGCAGCAGTGCTGGGAATCTTCAGGAGCACCTCCTGCTCTGTCATGTCGTGCAGGATCTGTGGGAAAGCAAGGGACAATCTTTGGAGTTAGTCACAGCTGAGGTGACCCAGCAGAGGCAGCAGGACACCAAGCGCCAGGCCAGCCTCAAGAGTGGCTTTTTTTACTCAAGTCAGGAAAAACACAAATTTTTTGACAAAATATCAAGAATCCAGCAGGGAGAGACAGCAGTTGGAATAGGTGGGTTCCCAAGGGATAAGGGAATTTGTTTAGCTGAGATGAAATGAGATGTGGCAGGTCAGAGAGGTCACTCTGAACATGGACAGACAGGATTTTATCCTGCAAACTCCTCACTTCCCCCCTCTCCTTGCTGAAGGTGCTGCAGGAAAACGTGACAAGCTCATGGCATCATTTCAGTGTGGGAACTTAAGAATTCTGCACCCTCTTGACTACCACACGAGCTGCCTGGAGCTGTGCAGAGTTTTCCAGCAGCAGCTTCTCCTCTGGGGTGATTTCCCCCCAAGACCCCTCATTCAGCAGCTCTGCTGTCCCCTGGGAATACCTTGGTGGTTGGAATGGCACACACGGGCTGGAAGAAGCTGTCTTCTGCTTTCACCTCCGTGGGGTCTTCCAGCTTCAAGGACCCCTCTGAGTCCCTTTTGTTCTCCTCGTATGTTGTGGTTTCCTGAGGGGCAGCAGAGGGTGAAGCTCCTGCAGAACATCCATCCCTGCCCTTCCCACCACAGCCCCCTGCTCTCCAGCTGGGAAGTTTTCCTCAGTACAGGATGCTGCAGCTCAGACTAGGCCTCCATAAAATAGGCAATAATTAGAGCACTATGGGATGTCCCTGCTCCACATCTCTGAGATCCAAGAGCAAAATTCCCACTAGGAACACCAGTTTCTCATGGACCTTCCTGCTGCTAGAAGCCCCTCCCCCAAACCATCCCTTCCGTTCTTAAAAAGAAATCTGGGAATGAGTCAGGATTTTGTGTTGTCTGAAGCCAAAGACAAAACTTTAATTTACTGAGTCCAAAAGGAAAATTGAAACTGTTTATCCTCAGATTTGTGGATGAGAAGTGGGAACATGAAAATCTTTGCTGTGAATCTCCAAAATTCTGTCCTGAAAGGCAGAGTCTGGTCCTGCAGTGGAAAATTTTCCTCAGTTACCAGAGAGGCACTAATTAGTGACATTCACAGAGTTTCAGCAAAGTGCACGTGCTCTGCCTGGACAAACTATGCTCATGTGGGAATTATCCCTTCATCCAGCTTTGCTCCTGCCCAAATGCAGCCCCTGTGCCCCCCAGAGCCAGCAGCACTCACCAGGCCCCGCTCCCTGTTCCTGCACTTGGCTGCGGTGCAGCTGCAGCCGTCGGTGCATCCCAACTTCTGCTTCCTGCAGCCACACTGCCTGTTCCCACAGTGGCCCTTGCACGAGCACTGTGGAGGAGGCAAGGGGGAAGTTTGGCAAGGGGGAACAATGGCCAGGATGCTCCTGGAATGCTCCAGGTCCTGCCAGCAGTGACATCTCAAGGACAGGGACACCCCCAAGCTGCCCCTTGTCGCATTTCGCTGCCATTTCGCATTTTGCTACATCCCAGAATAATTTTCTTCCTAATATCCAGAATTAAATCCTTCCACCTACACATTCATCTTCAGGATCTACAGAAGTACCTTCAGTTACTCAGTGCCTGACTTGAGGTTATGCCAAAGGATCCCAGTTTCTGTGCCACACTTCCACAAAAAGAGGGAGTCCCAGCCCAAAAGCCTCAGGAATTTTCTGAGCCAGAGGCTGAAGCTCCAGACTGACACAGAGAGATGGAAGCTGAGGCTCTGTCAGGACTGGAAGCTGCAGGTTCCCAAAGGAAACGGGGATCCACAACAGGCCATCTTTTTTTTATTTGTTTATTTTCCCCCTAAAGTTGGCTCTCTGGATGAATGTGGCTGCTGTTGGGGCTGTTCCTAAAGCAGAGGCCAGCTCAGACACAGGCAGCAGGACAGAACATGGGAGAAGGTGACTTGGACAGGGAAAACCCATCCAGGAAGGTCTTGCTGACTGCAGACAACCTTTGCTGTGTGTCTGGGAATGCCCCAAATATCCCCAAGCACCCAAATAATCCATTGCTGCCACTTTGAGAGCAGTGGAGACACCACACCTCCCAACTCCATACCCAACCCCTGCACACAGCAAGTGATTCCCTAACAGACACAGGACCAAGGGCAGCTGGATCTTACCCCCATGAGGTTTTTCTTGGTTCCTCTGCCTGCTTTCCCAGGAAGCCAGTCAGAATCCTCCAGCTCCCCAGGGTCAGAGAGCAGCTCCTCCACATCCACCTCGGGGCTGGGTGCTCGGGGCTTGGCCGTCGTCTGCCGGCGGCACTTGGGCTGCAACACAGGAGCACGAGGGGTCAGGCCACCAAAAATCAGCTGTATTTCATTCATAATATTAATAATGATTACATTTTAGGAAGGTTTTATTAGGGTTTTCAGAGTCCTTCACAGCCAAGAAAGTTGTGGAGTGAGGGAAGGAAAAAAAGATCCAATTATCAGGACTGAAAATTCAAACAATTTAAACTATTGATGACAAATCCTCTGAAGGCTGAGTTGTTGACACATCACATGACAAAAAACAAGTGTCACACACTCCTGTCCAAAGAATTTTAAATCATTTCTTCCTCCCAGCACTAAGATTTGGCTCTATGCAAAGCAGCAAAGTTTGCTGTGAAACATGTGCCTTGCTCCATAATTTAAAGACTGGGAATGCTACAGAAAAACAATCTGGATTGTGAAGGAGGATACAGAGTCAGAACTACAATGAGGAAACAGGTTTGGGGATTTGCTTTTTCTTTTTTAACCAAAAAAACTAACAAAGTATTTGAGTCTTCTGGAAAGGACTGAAGGGACCACTTCAATGAGCAGAACAAGTGCCTGGCAAAAGCAGCTTAGGAGAAAGAAAACCACATTATCAATAGCTAAGATTAACTCTGGCAAAGAATTCAGGTGCAACACAAACTGAGCAGCCTCCTTCTTACTTTGGGTGGAACATAATCAAAAGAAGAGTCTGGAGACTCAGGTAGCCTTTGCTGGATGTGCCGGATCTTCTGGCCACTGGCAACTTGGAGGAGCAGCAGTTTCTGCCAAAAGGGACAAGAATTAGCTCTGCAAAATCCCTCAAACCCAACTGCCACGGGGCTCTGGTGTCTGTGC